GGGGGTGGGGGCGCACAGCATGATGGAAACTTTGTCTCTCTTTTCCTCTTCCTAGAATGAGGCCCTGCTTGCCACACTGAGGGCTCCCCAACTCTTAGCCACTGAACTTAACACATCCAAGATAATAAATATGCAAGCACTTTGAAAAATCTGCAGTACTGCTCTTAAACAGAATGGTTGTATTGTTGTTATATATTATCTCCACAATAGAAATCATAGTAACAGCAGCTCACTGTGTCCTAGCATTGTTCTAAGAGCTGTGGGGCCATCTGTCATAATAGTCTCATAGAGTTATTATGAAGTAAGTACTGTTCTCTGTCACATTGTAGAAATGAGGAAACTGAGGCTCAGAGAAATTAAGTAATTTTCCCAAGATCACATAGCTAGTAAGTAGCAAAGCCAGGATATGAACACAGGCCAGTCTGATTCCAACTTGCTCTGGTGCCCCGCTAACTCCCGAACCCCATGGGAAGGTGGTGAAGGGTGGTGTGCCCTCAGCAACCTCTCTTCAGAAAGGAATTCCCTGCAGGTTTGACCAGATGGGGGCAGGCGGTCCCCTCTTCATAGATGTGACCTGGCACCCAGCAGGAGACCCTGGATCTGACAAGGAGACCTCCTCCATGATGATCGCCAGCACTGCTGTCAACTACTGTGGCCTGGAGACGGTGCTGCACATGACCTGCTGCCGTCAGAGCCAGGAGGAGATCACAGGCCATCTGCATAAGGCCAAGCAGCTGGGCCTGAAGAACATCCTGGCGCTGAGAGGAGGTATGGCACCGTCAGTGCTCTCTGGGATCTTGCTTTCCCAAAGGCCTCTTCTGTCCCTGAAATGGTCCTTTACTTCTCTCCGGATCCCACACTGAGCACGCTCAGGGGCCCATCCCTGCTGATAGCATCAATAGGCGCTGCCCAGGTGGAGCCACCTCTTCACCTCTTGACCCCAATGAAGGCGTTGAGTCAGAAAAACAGCTGGTGCCTGATAACCCTGTGCCCTAGCTACACAGCTTCATCGATGGCTGGCTGCACCCAGCTCTTGGCCCAGTCGAGAGTGCAGTTCTGGCATTTGTCCCAGGAATGAAAGTAGCTGCTTGTGCCTCTGGCCACAGAGTGGAAAGAGGGATCCTGATGAGTGGGGTTGTGTGCCTGTGCTCCCTACCACAAGACCACTGCTCACTTGAGATGAGTGGAAAATTCTCCCAGGAGGCAAGAGCTCCAAGAGGGTGGTACAGTGAGCAGTGGGGTTGGGTGAGGGTAGGCACCCAGGTTTGAGTTGGGGGTCTCTCAGATACTCCAGGCCAAGAGCAGCAGCTGTCCCCTGTTGTCCCCTACTTGCCACTGCCAGCCCCGTGCCCACAGAGTCAGCACTTGGTAAATGTCCGACAGGCTGGGCGCTATCTTCCCTCCCACTATTTACCAAGTGCTGTGCTAGGAAGAGGAGACACCAGTTTGAATAACATGCAGGCTCTGCTTTTGAAGAGCTCATGGTCCTGGGTGTAGGGGTGGGGAGAAGGGACAGAAAGGCCAGCTGGGGATCAGTGAGCCCCGGTGACTATGACCTTCACCAACCCTGCAGACCCCGTGGGTGACCAGTGGGAGGAGGAGGAAGGCTGCTTCCGCCACGCCACAGACCTGGTGAAGCACATCCACAGCGAGTGCGGTGACTACTTCGACATCTGTGTGGCAGGTGAGTGGCTGGAGTGCCCAGTGGGTGGGGATGGAGGGGAGAAGGGAGCGCCCAGAGGCACAGAGCTCAGCTGCGTTCAGTTCAGCGCCTGGTATCCCAGCACCCCGAGAAGGGCGGGGCAGAGGTGAGTGAATAGTGTCCCCACTCGGGGTCTGTCATCTGCCGCCCACGCTGCCACCACCCTGAAGTTTTGGATTCTCTGCCTTTTCATGCTCTTAGCTTGCTTCCCAGCCTGTTTTTCTTCTTTAAAACAAAAGAATATTAAGAGGGAGGGAATCTCAGAACCCAAGGGCAGGAAAGAGTACCAGACCTCACTAGGTGCTGGAACCAGGACGCAGTCAGAAACCCAGCCCGCCCTGGCCAGTGTGGCTCAGCTGGTGGAGCGTCATCCCGAGCACCAGAAGGTCGCCGGTTCAATTCCCGGTCAGGGCACATACCCAGGCTGCAGATTCTTTTCTTTGTTCTTTAAGCAGAACATCTCCCCTTTCCATAGTCCTTCCTCATGTAACGCGGTGTCTGACTGTTCGCTAGCTTGGACCTCTGAGTAACTTTAACGTTAAAAGCGCTGCTTTAGCCCAGCCGGCAGGCTCAGAGGTTGAGCATCGACCTAGGATCCAGGAGATCGCGGGTCGATTCCCGGTCAGGGCACATGCCCGGGTTGTGGGCTTGATCCCAGCAGGGGCCGTGCAGGAGGCAGCCGATCAATGACTCTCTCATCATTGATGTTTCGCTCGCTCACTCTCTCTCCCTCTCCCTTCCTCTCTCTGAAATCAATAAAGATATATTAAAAAAAAAAAAAAGTGCTGCTTTAATCCAGTGTCTAGGGTCCAGCGCAGTTACCGCAAGTGTTGCCGCGCTGCTGCTGAGCCCTCGGAGCCTCTCTCCTCTATGGCCACCCAGTGCAGGCCTGGTTTGCGGGGCTGGTTGCAAGGGGTGCAAGGCGGGACAGTGTGGGGAGTTTGGAGCAATCCACCCCCAGTCTTGGGAGGGTGGCTCTAAGCCACTGCTCACCAGAGGTCATCTCGAGGGTGCGGGGGTGCATCCACTGTGAGCCAGCCACTCACCCGTCTCAGCCTGTCTGCGCTGTGGTGCTGGAAGGTCCGGGTCTGGAACCCTGGAGGCGGAGAACTCTGCTCCCGGCTCTCTGGTTTCTTACTCACTCTGAGCAGCTGGAGCCAGCCTCTCCCTACTGTCATCCCTACTGCCAGGTTACCCCGAAGGCCACCCTGACGCAGAGAGCTTCGAGGCCGACCTGCAGCACCTGAAGGAGAAGGTGTGTGCAGGCGCCGACTTCATCATCACGCAGCTTTTCTTTGAGGCTGACACCTTCTTCCACTTTGTAAAAGCTTGTTCCGAGATAGGCATCACCTGCCCCATCCTCCCCGGAATCTTCCCTATTCAGGTGAGGGACCCGGGAGAGCTGACGGGCCCTCCCACCCCGTCCTCGCTCAGCCAGGGCCCTGGGGGTGGTGAGGTGCTCGGTTCATGGTCAAGTTCTTCTTTGATGCTCATTGGATTTCCTGTGAGATGCTCCTTGCAAAATGTTCTCACCACCCCATTTTGGTTACCTCTACCCGCCCCCCCCCCAAAAAACAGCAACAGCACCTGATGGAGGGGCTTGTTGTACTTTGGCTTACTGGCAAGTATCACTACAAGGGATTAGTATAACACTCATCCTAAATTTTGATTCAATCAACGTTTCTCAAACTCACTGTCATTAGAATCACTTGAGAAGCTTTTTCAAAAGATGGGCCTCCAGATCCCATGCCTAAAAGTTCTGAGTTAGATCTGAGGTGGGGCCTAAGTTTTGCAGGTGATTCTGAGGACCCATGAGGCTTGGGAGCCCCTGGGACTAAGCTGGCTGAGACTGATGGCAGGAGTGCTCTGGGCAGCTGCTGTCCCTGCAGGCTGGAAATAGGGCCAGGCAAGGGTCCTCGTACAGTGTGGTCTGACTTTCCTGGGTCACTCTGTGTCATGCTGCAGTTGGCCAGGAGACCTGGTAGGGGGCTTAAGGGGGAGAAGCAGGGTGAGAGACAGGCAGGACGTGACTCCACGGCCCCCTGGTGTCTTGGACAGGGCTACCACTCCCTGCAGCAGCTCATGAAGCTGTCCAAGCTGGAGGTGCCGCAGACCATCAAAGACGTGATTGAGCCAATTAAGGACAATGACGCTGCCATCCGCAACTACGGCATCGAACAAGCCGTGAGCCTGTGCCGAGAACTGCTGGCAAGTGGCCTGGTGCCCGGCTTGCACTTCTACACACTCAACCAAAATATGGCCACCACCGAGGTGCTGAAGCGCCTGGGAATGTGGACAGAGGACCCCAGGTGAGGCCAGCGGCCCCAAATTCAGGTCCAGGAGCCACAGAGGGAAGTCAGTGGGCAAGGAGGTCAGAGAAGTCACAGGAAGAATGTGCCTAGCAGTGCTGGCCGCGACAGGCGTGCAGGGCGTTGTCTGTGCCCTGGCGAGCAGCACTCAGGCTTCCAGCCTCAGCGGCAGGGCCACATGTACCTTGATATTTGCAAGTCAGGTTGAAGAACCCAGGCTCAGTGGGTTCCTCCTCCCTGCACCCTCTAGCCAGTCCCTTACCCTTTGTGTCCCCATCTCACCCAGGCGTCCCCTGCCCTGGGCTGTCAGCGCCCACCCCAAGCGCCGGGAGGAAGATGTGCGTCCCATCTTCTGGGCCTCTAGACCGAAGAGTTACATCTACCGCACCCAGGGGTGGGATGAGTTCCCCAACGGCCGCTGGTGAGGCCGGCACAGTCCTTTGCAAACGGGTCCTATCTCTTGGGAGGCAGGGGGCAGAAGGAGTGTGCATGCTTATCTGATCCTTGAGGGACAGGAGTCACAGGAATGGCCCCTCAGTGGTGTGTGGGACAGCTGTCCTTCTGTAAGGGACCCAGGGTCAGGAGTGCACCTTGACCTCCGGGCATGTCCTCTGCCAGGGGCAATTCCTCCTCTCCGGCCTTTGGGGAGCTGAAGGACTACTACCTCTTCTACCTGAAGAGTAAGGCCCCGAGGGAGGAGCTGCTGAGGATGTGGGGGGAGGAGCTGACCAGCGAGGAAAGTGTGTTCCAAGTGTTCGTCCACTACCTCTCCGGAGAGCCCACCCAGAACGGCTGTCGAGTGAGTGCTGCTGGGGTGGGATCCCTGGTTACACCCCCTCCCATCTCCCTGTGGGCCCTCCCACCCCGCGCCTCATCTCCCTGGTCGACCTGGCACCTCAGCAAAGGGAGAAGGCTGAGTGGGGAGTCGCTTTCTGGGGGGCCTGGAAGGGGCTTATGGAGGCAGAGACAGGCAGGTCTCTGACAGGACCCAGGGTGCCAGATCCGATGGTCGCCCCAGCCCAGCTCACCCTCTCCCAGGTCACTTGCCTGCCCTGGAATGACGAGCCCTTGGCGGCTGAGACCAGCCTGATGAAGGAGGAGCTGCTGCGTGTGAACCGGCAGGGCATCCTCACCATCAACTCGCAGCCCAACATCAATGGGAAGCCGTCCTCGGACCCGGTCGTGGGCTGGGGCCCCAGTGGGGGCTATGTCTTCCAGAAGGTGTGCAGGATGCGCAGGGCTGCCCCACCTTGACTGGCCCCCAGGAACCCTGGAGGTGGGCACAGGGAGCCTTCCTCCCTGGGGTCCCTGAGTGGACCAGGGTGGACGGGGGAGCTCCTGCTTTAGGTCACGCAGACCTGGGGGGGGCAGGTCCCTTGACTGCTCCGGGCCTCCACCTTCTCAAATGGGGACCTACCGCATCCCGTTCTGGGGATGAAGCGTGACAACGCACACAAAGCTTAGCACCGGAAGGACACAGGAAGCTCTCTAACGGGGAGCTGTTACTACTCTTCTGAGTTGAACCTTCCTCCCGGGGCTGCTGGAGTGAAAATTTGCTTACCCAAGCCCCTGGCCCTGGAGTTAGAGAGACCTGGGTATGAAGAGACCAGCTCTGCTGTTTATCGTCAGTGAGCCCAGTTGCTCACCTTGCCTAACTTTCCCCATCTGTGAAGTGGGGATAAGAGGGCCCCCCTGCAGTGTTATGGGCATTACAGGAAATGACTTTACATAAACCCAGCTCAATCTCTGATATACAGTTGGGGCTAGAGAAGCCCTCACTGTCACCGTCCAGGGAGTGGGGCGATGGAAGGTGGCAGAGTGGGCCTCCTGTCCAGCGTCTGAAGTGGCTTCTCCGTCTGGCCTCCCCTTCCTAACTGAGGAGGGCTGGCGGAGGTCCCCTGACCGGCCCAGCTGGGGACTCTCACATACCTGCTCTATGACTCCACCCATGTGGACACCACTAGTCCCAATGTCTCGTGTCCTTCCACACCTGTGTGTGGGGGTCCGTCCCCGGGGACGGTCGCAGGCAGGCACCTGACTGGTGTTGCTGAGCGCCGAGGAGGCGGCCAGCAGGGCCCAGGTGGTGTGACAGGTGCCTGCCTCCCACAGGCCTACCTGGAGTTCTTCACCTCTCGAGAGACAGTGGCGGCGCTTCTGCAGGTGCTGAAGAAATACGAGCTCCGGGTGAACTACCACATCGTGGACGTGAAGGTGGGCCGGCTCCGGGGCGGGTGGCGCTTGGTGGGCAGCATGCCAGCGAGGGCACCCCCGGTTACTCCCCCTCAGCGGGCCCCAGGCTTGTGCAGGACAGACCCGCAGACAGAGCTCCCAGCCTAGCGAGGGAGGCCCGGCAGTGGATGATTAGCACAGTTCAGTGTAGGGTGGTGGGGACCCAGAGGGACACCTAACCTGGGAGGTCACAGAAGGCTTCTCGGAGGGTCCTCTGTGGCCTGGATCTTTAAGGATGGGGAAAAGGGCTTCCTGGGAAAGGGCCAAGGGGGTGCCAAGGCGTCGTCTGCAGGCCTGCGGGGACACCATGGACTGGCAGCAGAGTGGGGCTGAGGTATTAGGCAGGGGCAGGGGCCAGGTCCTCGGGCTCCACGGTCCCGCTTGGAATGTGGGTTTTACCCGGAAGGCAGGAGGGAGCCTTTCCCAGCAGTGGAGAGACTTGGCCCCGTTTTATTTTAGGCAGGTCACGGTGGGCAGCTGATGACCAATGGGCCCGGGAACGCTGGAGTCAGAAGCCCTTGGGGTGGTCTGAGTAGCAAAGAGAGGCCGGCTGGGCTAGACACGGGCAGGACGGGAGGAAGCAGGTGGAACCACTGGGCGTGATGCTGAGTAAAGTGGGGAGAGGAGGAAGGAAATGCCCAGGTTTCAGGCCTCTAGGTTTTGGGCTCTTAGAGCTGGAGGAGGAGCAGTTGCAAGGTATGGGCAGTAAGAGGGCTCTAGTTGCCTCTGTCCCATCGGCTCTTACGCTCCGCCCCCAGGGTGAAAACATCACCAATGCTCCCGACCTACAGCCCAACGCTGTCACTTGGGGCATCTTCCCTGGGCGAGAGATCATCCAGCCCACGGTGGTGGATCCTGTCAGCTTCATGTTCTGGAAGGTAAGGGGGCTGGGAGCGGGCCTGCCCTGCCCACCTGAAACACCTAGCGCAGGCAGTGTCCCTGGGTCCCCAGCGTGTGGCCCCAACTTGGCTCCCCTGGCTGCACCTCGCCCGTGATTCAGTTTATTCCTGCCCTGCGAGTGGGAGGTGGCACTGGCAGTGGCTTTACTCTGTTCCTGGAAATGTCCTGTTGGGCTGTGGCAGAGGCTCTTGCGGCACTGAGCATGGAGCCCTGACCCGAGGGCAGCCCTGTTAACCTTGCCTGTGTGTGCCCGTGTCTGTGTGTGTGGCTGTCTGCGCCTGTCTGTGTGGCTCGTGTGCACGCGCAGGACGAAGCCTTCGCCCTGTGGGTGGAGCAGTGGGGCAAGCTATATGAGGAGGAGTCCCCGTCCCGGCTGATCATCCAGTACATCCACGACAACTACTTCCTCGTCAACCTGGTGGACAATGAGTTTCCGCTGGACAACTGCCTGTGGCAGGTGGTAGAAGACACGTTTGAGCTTCTCAACAGACCCACCTCGGAAAGAGAGGGAGACAGGCTCCGTGACCCTGCACCCTGACATCCTTAGCTCGGCCGGCTGTGTCCTGCCTTCCTCTCCCCCAGGATTGGCTCTTCTGGGGAACCCTATCTCCATCTGTCCCCAAGCCCTGGCCTGCACTCCCCCACATGTAATGGCAGCTAGACTGGTGTGAGGCTCTGGGCTCTGGGCTCTGGCTGGCCCTGAGTCAGCCCCACGTGGGAGCCTGGCATTCCCTGCCCAGGCGGGAGATTTTGCTCTTTTGTGGGGAGCACCCCCACCCCATAGAGGACCATGGTGGGTGGAACCCTGTCCTCCCTGTGAAGGGGAGGAGGCTGGTTATTGCTGACTGGACCCTCCCTGCCTGCATGAGACTGCCGGTGACCTTGCGCTTGGGGCCTACGGGAGACGGGCAAAGCAAACATGGGCAGCAGTCACTGGCAGCCCTGCCAAATAGCTGTGGCAGAGTGAAGGTGCTGCCCTTCCACTTCCACATTGGCAGCTGGGCACTTCCTGCTTGTGACTGAAGGGCAGATACTACCCTGGCACCAGGCCCCTGGAGGGCCTGGGGCTGAAACCCAGTAACAGGCACTTCCTGCCACCTTCTACCTGAGAGCTTAGCTGGCTTTCACCCTTCGGCAATGCTGCTTTTTGAAACACTTGTCTCTCTCTTCTGGTGGCTCAAGAGATAAAGCACCTCTTAAGGGTGTCTGCACCTTTGTGCTTGGTGGAGCCCTCGCCTTCCCTTGCCCCCCACCCTTTACCTATGTCTTCCTGGCTGATTTTCATCTGTCCAGCTGCTCCCACCCTCTGTGCATCCCAGAAACTGCCTGCCTGGCCCTGCTCCCCTGGAATTGGCCTTCAAGCCCTGCTGCCCAGGGTGGTAACTGGCAGGTGCACAGGCCCTGTCCCATCCCTGCCTGCTAGCTTCGAGAAGGAGAGTGGGGTGGGTGTCCACAGAGCAGCCATCAGCACATCCCCTCACCGCCCTCCAGGCTGGCTGGCTGGCTAGGGAGCCAGAGAAGCAGCTGGGACTAAGGAGAGCATTTTATTTATTCATTCAGAGCTCCCAGAGCTCCTCCCTCCATGGCCAGGCTGCTGGATGAGCGCCCGACAGCCTGTACTCCCTGGGAAGGCTGGGCCCAGTTCTGATTTTCTTTCCATGGCAACAAGTCACAGCTATGCTGGGCCCTACGCCACCTGGAGTCCACCACACGCAGGGGCTCGGACAGTTTCCAGCCAGCTCCCAGGGCTCCTGCTGCCCACCTTACTCAGGGGCCTCAGGCTGCTGGTGGCTCCTCCTCGGGCCCCTGGCTGCCAGGTTCTCGTGCCACTTCTCAAAGGCCTAGAACAAGGAGGGGGGAGGAAAGGTTATTCAGCGCCCTCCCGGTCTGGTGCTGTTTGTGCCCAGCTCCTTCTCTCCCTTGAGGAAATTAGAGGTCTCTCCCTGTGCCCCAGGCAGGCAAGCGGCCAGCCCTGCCCCGAGCCAAATGCAAAGGCTCAGAATAGATCTGACCTGGGATCTGGGAAACTGTGCTCAGCAGATACGGGAAGGGACGCTTGGACTATACCCTGCACTGGCCGTGTGAGTCAGCTGTGTCACTGGCCCAACTTGCTCCCAGTCTGAGTGCTGGGCAGGACCAGGCCGAGCACATAGCTACCAGCTCTATCGAGGGTTCCAGAACCCAAGCTGTTTCTCTACCCAAACTGACCCTCCCCTGAATGTGAAGGGGTCCTGGGTGGCAAGCAGGGAGGACCTGCAGCTCAGAAACGTCCAGAGCTGGTTTTAGAAGGGCCTGCTGGGGGTTAGGGGCTGCCCCACCAGTACCTGAGAAAGGACCCAGCCCTGGTCTCGTCGCTGTAATCGCTGAGCCACCTGCAGCCGCACAACCTGTCGCCGCCACATTCGCCAGGCCCTTCTCAGGTGCCACTGCCTGAGCTGTGGGGACAGCTGGTGAGAAGGCCCCAAACTGGGCGGACTGCTGCCTCGGGCACCTGTGCTCCCCTCAGCCCCCCAGTGGCACCAGGATGAAGGGCATGTGACAAGGAGGATGTCATCTGAGGTGTGTGAACAGTGCAGATTCCTAGGCCTGTCTCCAGCTTCCAGACTGAGTAGGTCCAAAGATCATACTTTGAGAGGCTTCATTCAGGGGTTAGGGTTGAGAATGGGATGAGATGGGAAACCAGTATGAGGCTGGGGAGGGGTCCTCCCCACTCACCAGCGACCGCCCCAGCTCCTCTGCCCCCTGAGCATCTACCCAGCACTGCCATGTCGCTGCCAGGTGCCTGGCCTGCTGGGAGCCCTGGAACCGATGAAGCAGTGCCTCAAGGTGCCAGCGTCCCAGGTATTTCCTCCTGGGGATGGGAGGGAGAGGCCCTGTGTACAACCTAACGGTCAAGAGCATCATGACCCCCATTCAAGGCCAAAAAAAGGGCCGAGCTGTGGGCCTGGTTCAGCTCCTCCAGGATCCTGCAGGGACGAGCACTGGCCAGAGAGGCCCAGCCCTGGCCACAGCCCAGACAAGCCCCTCAGCCCTGGCCCCAACCCCACCCTCTCCACAGGATTGCTTACCCCAGCCACCTCTTATCCACCTGGCCTTTGACCTTGAGGGCACTGGTCTCAGAGATGCAATCCCCTCCTGGTCCTGGAGGGGGCTGGCCCTGGGCCCAGTGGGCCCATCCAGGCCACTGCATCCAGAGCTGGACGGCACTGTCGCCTGGAAAGGGGAATTGAGTCAGAAAAGGTAAACGCTCGAGTTCAGGAGGGCACACTCCCCTCAGTCTGCTCTTAGAAGCTGAGCACACAAAAGGGGTGAACCACCAAAGGGGCTGAGGTAAGCGTTGTGCCCCACCTCCACACCTGCCCAAGCTCCCGCCCTGGGCTGCTGCCCACAGAAATAACAGGTGGGCAGGGCAGAATGCATTGTTTCTGAAAACGCTGAGATATCCCAGAAGAGGAAATGGCTGGGGGAAGTGCAGGTAAACACGTGATGGATTTGCCAAGGAGCGTGGAGCTCATTAACGAGCCCGAGGGCTGGAGACCGGGCCACCCCTGCACTCAGACACTGTCCTTCCCCAAGGGCAGGCCTCCTTACTCGGAGCCCAGGACGTTTCTGTCCGCTTCCTCTGCCCACCGAGGCCGTGCAGCTGCGTCGGGCTGGGCAGCACGGGCCCCGGGCCCTGTGGCCTGCAGCTGCGTGTCTGAGGGACAGCAGGAGGGGAAAACCTGAGCCCAAAGGGCTTGGCCCTCCTGGGGCCCAGGTGACCTGTGGGATTCCTCTGCTGCCCTGCTTTGACCCCAGTGGCGGGGCCTCCTACTTGTGTGGGCACATGTAGGATAGTTCATGTGACTGCATGTCCTCCCGTGAGCCCCAGGACTCCCAGGGAGACAGAGGTGCCCAAGAGGAGTATGGCCGCCAGCACACACCACTGCCCCTTCCCGGCCCCCCACGTGGCTGGAGGCTCACGCAGCGGGGTAGATCAATAATAGCTACCGCTCGGTGACAGCTCACCTGTGCCAGGTACGGCCTGAAGGGGCGCTCTCCCGTGAAGCTTTACAAAGTTAATTCACTTGCCTGAGGCCCCACCTCTCAGGAGCAGGCTGACTCCGAAACCTAGGCCCCAGCTACTGTTCACACAGACCCCGGGCTCTCTCGGGGACTCTGTGCCGCCAGGGGATGGCACAGTACCTGCTCACGATGTAGGTGAGGGCTGCCGAGGCATGTGCGTTCATGTGGCAGAAAGGGGGGGCCTGGAATTCAGCACCCAAGCTACCATTCCCAGCATTGACTTCTAGTTTCTACAAGCCTCAGTTTCTCCTTCAGTAAGTGGGATCCCCGCCTGCCTTTGCGGACAGGAATGGATGAAAGTGTCTATAAACATACCCTGAAATAAAATTGTAACACAGATCTAGAAATAAAATACCCCGAGCCCCCAGAACCTGCTGTTGCCAGAGCCCCACATCAAACAGGTGGATTCTGCAAATAACCAGAGCTAGTCTCTTTCCATTCCATTAAAAAGCCACTTAGTCTTTTTTTCTTAGACACTAGTCTATTAGCTACTTCCCGGCATTCTGAAACAGGATTCCTGGGCATGCGGGTTCCTCTTTAGAACACTAGGTGGCCTTGCCGGTAACTCTGGGGCTGTCTGTCCCACAATGACACATCCCTGGACACCGTGTCACTTCTTGTGCCTGGCTTTCACTGTGGCCTCTCCTCTCCTGCTAGGCCGTCGAGCTTCTGCCACCATTTGCTAGTCTCAGAACTAACTGCTGCTGGTCTGGAGAGGGTCTGGCAGTTCTCTTTGGGTAGAGAGTGTTACAAAAGAAAATTTTTTTCATTTACATTTTCTGCTTTTTCTGAAATTAGCATGTTTCATTTTTCCAATAAGAAAGAAAAGCTTTGGACAAAGCATTGCTGCTGTTCCCATGTTCCTATCCTGGTGCGAGAGGGCACCATGACACGTAGTGACTTTAGGTGCCTAACAGACTGTGACCCCCGCCTTCGTCTCTGCAGCAGACCTGAGCTAGGTTGGCCCTCAGGAGGCACCCAGTAAATGTTTGCTGACAGACGGCAGCTGGCCGCCTTCCAGAGCCAGGAGGCTGGCTAAAGACTAGGGAGGGGCCGTGTCCACAAGGCTGCTGGGCCCCTGGGGAAGCATCGGCCACCATGGGCTAAACCAAGCTGATTCTGAGGCCACTGGCCCTCAGGTCATGTTTGGACCCTTTGCTGCGCCTGGACCCCACCTCACCTGCACCCGCGGGGCTGCCCCGTCCATCAGCACCAGGAGGCGCCCTCTGCCGGCCAGCCTGGGCCAGTGCGTGAGGCCGGCCCAGGCCCTGGGGTGGGCTGCGCTGGTCTCCTGGGCCTCTGTCGGCGGTTCCAGCCGCACTCTGAGCAGCGCTGTCTGCCACTGGGCCCAGTGGGTCCGCAGCAGGTGACTGTGCTGGAACTGGGTGATGGTGACGTGCTGGACACGACCCTGGGCCACCAGCTGGGCCCAGGCCTCTAGGACCCTGGGAGAGAGAGAAGAACCCATACCCACCGCCATCAGGGCCGGGGCTCTAGGGCGGCTGTGCGGGGCCCTCCCCGGACCTGGCCAGTGGCCTGCGGTAGGGGACGTCCAGCCAAAGCCCCGAACCCTGCTCCTCTTTCCCCACTGCTGGAGAACACGGGTGAAAGTGGGCACAGAGAGCAGCAGAATATCACACGGCAGGGACGAGCGTCCCGGTTAGAGGAAGGACAGTCCTGCCCACTACACTGTGCCTCTCTTCTCCTCACAAGAACCCGGTTTATGGAGCACCTGCTGCGTCTGTCTGGCCCTGGCTGAGCTGATGCTTCCATTCCTTAGCTCTAATCTCTGGCCACTGGGTCGGTTACCTTCCTTTGACCTTTAAAGTTAGACTTGCCCAAGAGGGGTCACACAGCCCGAGTGCAGAGCTGAGATTTGGTCCAGGCCTGGCGGCAATGACCAGGATGGCCTCTCCCTATCACCCCCAGCCTCCTGAGTCCTGGCCCCAGCCACCAAATCCCTCCACCCTGGCCCCAGACGAGCTCCAGGCCTGAGCTGGAAGCATAGGGAGGCCTGCCCTCAGGCCATGGACACCCACCTGGCGCTCAGCTTCTGGGCAGCGTGGGCTCGGCTGAGCCGGTGTAGGTGGGACTCATGTACCCACTGTGTCCAGCACAGGGCCACCCGGGTCTGGGCCCAAGCTCTCTCTTCTGCCTGCTGGTGAGCCTCACAGGGCTGGCCCAGGGCCACTTGCCATGCCGCAAAGGTCTGCTGGGTCTGGGCCCTCCTCAGCTGCCTGTCTGTCCAGCCCCCCTGCACGTGGCTTCTCCAGCAAGCAATGGAGGCCTGGGCCACACAATGCTCCTGTGCCCGGGCTGAGGCCACTTGGGCTTCCCGCCATGTGCCAAATGCGGCCCCCAGTGCCCGGCTCCTCAGGTCATCCTGGAAGGCTCGACATTGAGCCCGGAGCATCCCTGTGTGTCTCACAGATCTGCACCAGGCCTGGAAATGGCTGCAAAACAGGAGCAGGGGAGGGCTCAGCTCCTGTCACGGTGAGAAGTCACATTCAAAAGTACATCCGCAATTGCCCCTAAAATCTTACAGGTTACACACGGTTTCATGCACAACCCTGTGTTAAAAATGAAGGGAGCAACATATAACGGGGAAAGCGCTGGCTTTGGTTTGGGGCCTTGGCGCACACACTCCCCGTGAGCCTGTGGGAGCCCAACAGCTGTGGGTTCAAGTCCCAGACCCACTGGGGGACAGCCACTCCCGCCTCCCCTCATAAGCCCGCTCTGGGACAGGTGGGCAGTGAGTGGAACACAGTCCCCCACTCCAAGGGCCCTGAGAAAGGTGCACGGCCTTCAGATGTGAAAGTACAGGGGCTAGCCACTCTGCGGCCAATGTTCGCTGGCCGTGGGGACACTGAATGTTCTCAAATTTGTAACCGCACCGTGGGCACCATCTGTCCCCTCTCCTTTCCAATGGCATTAATGGACTATGAACACCTCTAAGATTCCAGCCTCTCCTTTGGGCCCTGTATGAGGAATTCCCCTGTGCTGACACCTCAAACAACACACGGTGCTGAGACACAGGTTAAGCTGGATGTCTGAGAAGCTCATTTCTCCATCTTAATTGTATCCTCTGAAACCAAAGGACTGACCCGGTCAGGAGGGCGAGCTGAGGTGGGATGAGGGGCTTGCCACCCCACCTCCTGCATAAAGCAGATAGTGGAAGGCTGGTGGCCGTGGCTCTGCAGCTCCAGGCTAGGGTCTCCCTTCACGCCCCCCATTTCCCAGGTCCCAAGCCTCTAGCCTGGACTCCCCTGGAGCTCCTGACGCAACCCAGCCTCCCATCTCCAGGGCTCTCTCCCTGCGTCTCCCAGGGTGCAGATGACCCCCCGCCTCCCACTGCCTGTCCCACCCACCTCTGCAGGAGGAGCTGCTCTGGCCCGGCTGCCCTGTGCCTCCGCCTGCCGGCCGCCTGCTGCCAGCTCTGGAACGCAGCCCTGCGCAGGCCCTGGCGGTGAGCGTGCACCCACCTCTGGTACCGTTCATGCAGGAACTGCTGCCCTGTGGCCAGAGAGAGGCTGAAGTACTACTGGGTACTCATCCTGGCCTCACCCCTGGGCCCTGGGTCACCATGGGTCCCTCCCTAGCCAGCCCTTTGCCTTCTACCCAAGTGGGGACAGAGGAGACCACCTAACTGTCTGGGTTGAAATGCTTTGGTTACAGGTGTCTTACTGGTAACCAGGTCAACCCAACTCATAGGGTTTTTTTGTTTTTAAAATTTCTTGGTGATGGTCAGGAATTCTGAGAATTTCATAAATTTCCAGCTTTTCTTCTAAAAAACTAGAAGGTCTGGCAACACTGGGCCAGGCTTTCTGGGCAACTGGACACTGGGCTGGAGAAGCAACTGTCTCCTATGGATAGCGCATGACCTTCCAGAACAACCAAGTCCCACCCGCCAGCCCATTGATATGTGACATGGATGTAATGGGACACCTCCAAAATGCCCCTGCCCCGGTGACCCCTGCCTCCTGTGCTGGGCTCCAAGGGGGCCGTGACTCCCGAAAGCCAGGCGAGGGTGACGATGAAGATGGACAGGAACCCTGCCAGGAGCCGGGTTCTGAGCCGAGCGTGTTGGTGGATTGTCTCACAGGATCCCCACAATCCCCCCGTGAGGTGCTACTACAATTATCCCCATTTTACAGGTAAGTGAGCTGACGCTCAGGTTAAGTAGCTTGTTTACAGTCCACACAGACAGGGAATGGAAGTGGGGACATGAACACGGGACCAGTGTCCACGCCTCCAGGTCCTGTTCTGCCACCCCGGTCCTGCACATGCCCTGTGGGATCCCACTGTTGGGCTCTGTGCTGAAGGATATGGACTCCTGGGCCTCCCTGATGGACCCTGGCCCTCCTTCGCCCTCAGAGGCCCATTCCAGCACCCCACTCACTCTGCCAGCAGGAGTGCCAGTGCTGCAGGGCGTCTCGCACCCGTCTCCGGCCCCGCTCCTGGGCCCACTGTTCTGCCTCCCGCCGCTGCTTGAGTCGCCGCCGCCACAGGCTCATCACAGCCCTGCAGCTCTGGTCCCAGGCCCAGCGGGCAGCCAACTCTCTCTGGGCCCCTTGGGCCACTGCCCAGTGGCTCCAGCTGAGGAAGATGCTGAGAAAGGGAGTGTCCGCCCTAAGGACGGTCACTGTCATGGGGCAGCCAGCCCAGCCCACCCCTCCCGCAGCAGCAGGGAGGGGCTTGGAGTGACTCTTCTCCCTGTTTCCATCCTGGGGGAGAGTCGTTGTTGAGGGCTGAAGGACTGAAACCCTCCTCCAAGTGTCACAATAACAGGTGATGGGGATAAGATGGGACCTTAGACCTCCAATGCCAGTCCTGTACTCAACCTCTAGTGCTAAACGTTGCTATGAATAAAGTGCTTGCCATGTGCCGGGCACTGTGCTAGGGGATGCATGTGCCCTACTTCATTGATCCCCATTGAAGTGACTACTATTATTACCTCCCCACAAATGGGGAGATGGAGGCACAGAGAGGTTAAGCAACTTGCCCAAGATCACACAGCCAGTGAGGGGGAAAGCCGGGATTAGAACCCAGGCAGACTGACTCTTAAGCACCGTGCTATGAATGAACGAACGAACCACAGCTGTGAAATCCCTGAGAGAAATGTTAGCCCTGACAGGTGCCCCCCAACCCACACACGCCTCTCAGCAGGGCAGGGAGGAGGGCTGGGGGAGTTGAGAGGATCTGAGTCTGGGGGCATGAGAGGGGAGGCCCCTGGGATGCAGACCCCAAGGGGGTGCTGCTGTGAAGGACAAGGAATGAGGGGAAACAGTAAATCCACAGAGTAGTGGGCAGCAGGGCTCACCGTCCCGGGGAGGGGAACCTACCGCCTCTGAAGGGCGCACTGGTGCCACCTTGCCGCACTCTGGGACTGCGGAGCCTGTGGCTGCTGCTGCCCAGCTGCCCACAGGAGGCGCAGCCGAAGGGTCTCCAGGTGGGCGGGGGCCCTGGAAGCCTGGGGAAGGGGATGTGGAGTCCTGGGTGTCTGTCCCCTGCTCGTCCCCACCCCTCCTCCCACCTGTCGCCTACCTACCCTGGCCCATCCCAGCCCCTACCCTCACCTTCTCCAGTGAGCTGCGGGGTGTGCTCCAGCCCAGCGAGGCCGCTCCTCCCGGTAGCCTGCCCAGCGGTTCTGGGCCTGGGGTGGGCCTGGCACTGTCTGAGCGGGTGCCTGGACCCCACACCCTCAAGTGCCACGCCCTCAGGGTGCGCCTTAGCATCCGCTGCTGCATACCCTGGAAGAAGGAGCTACAGGAAGGGGGCAGGTGAGTCCCTGGCCCAGCCTCATCCCCGGTTGGAATGACTGCCAAGCAGGGGCTGCCCTCAGCTGGGCCGCTGGGAAAGAGCCCCTGGGTAACAGCTGCGCCGGAAGGTGCTGCCACGTGCCAAACACCTGGCCAGGGCTCTGCACTACCGCCTCCCAAACGGCCATACTCTGGGACCACTGGGGCTCTAAGACACACTGATGCCCACTGGGGTCCCACCCCCAGAGATTCTGACTTAATGGTCTGGGTGTGGCCTGGGCTTCCTGACTTTTCCAAAGTTCCCAGAGTGGCTCCTGAGCAGCTAAAACCAAGACCACCGCCCAACCTGTAATCACCTGGCTAATCCTTGACATGCTCCAGGGGTGGGGTGGGGGCCACGCAGCTGATGAGGGATGGAACTGGGCCCCAGGTCCAGGGACCCCAGCCTCAAGAGGCCACATGCATGACCACACTAGTACTTCTGCCTCCATTCAATAATAAAGATAGGGAAACTGAGGCCTGGGGGAAACCATTTCCCCAAACTCCAAACAGCAGCAGACCTGGAATCCAAACACTCATCTCGGGCCACCAGGCAGCAAAGATATGCCGCAGGGAGATACAGACCGTGTCCTGAGGCCCAGAGCCCAGAGGATGGACTGGGCGTGGCAGGGCTACATTCTGAAGGATCATGGTGAACTGAGTTTCCCTGCAGTTCTAGGGGTGCATTAAAAGAGACTGAAGGTCAAAGTAGACCAAGTAGGTGTGGGACTGAGGGATGCCAGGCGTATGGCTTTCATGGACAGAATTCTTAACCCTGCAACTGCTGGCTTATGTCCTGCCTGTGAGGGAAGCTGGCCCCTCCTGACCTCACCAATCCCCTCATACAAAACCATCAGCCTGGGCTCTGAATCCACACTCTTGCTCCTGACCCACAGTGTGATTGAAAGCAAGCTGCTCCACCCCTGAGCTGCAGTTTCTCTAGCTGTATAATGTGGCAGGTGGTGCCCAGGGATAAGAGGCTCCTTCACTTATTCATTTACAGTATTTGTTCCGTGCCAACCACAGGCTGGGCACCTGCAAGGTGCTGGGAGACAGAGGCGGGGAGACAGATATAGTTCCCGCCACCAGGAGGCTCCTGCCTGACCAGGAGACGTGGGAGAGGTGATTCTCGATGCTGGGGAGGGAGAGGAGCATTACATCAACTTCTCCAGCAGGTTCCAGCCACCGGGTTGGACTACGTGTCTGTCCCCACAGCTCTCTGCTCAATCACTGTCTCCGCGTCCCTGGGCTACCTCCCTGGCCCCACACCCACTGGGCACCAAAGTGTTCCAGGCCGCATGCTGGAGTCACTAGGAGGAACAGGATGTGGCCTGTTCCTCATGGGACCCTCTTCCCAGTGTGAGCACTGCTTATGTGCCCACCCCTGACCCCCAGGCCCAACCCCAAGCCGCAGGCCTGTGGACACCTACTTGGCCCGCCGGCGCTGGGACAGCCTCGCCCTCCAGAGCAGCAGCACCCAGCGGAGGGCCAGCGGAGGGCAGGCTTCCTGTGGGGAGCCCCGGCCTCGCTCCTGGGGCAGCCCCTGGGCCTGAGCCACCCATCCCAGGCCATGGCATGTGGTCCCTCCATGAGCTGAGCTGCAGAGGGCCATTTTCCCTGAGAAGCAGTCAAGAGACAAATCAACCATGTCCCCAGTGGCCTCCCTCTGCCCAAAGCCATTGGTGGCTGCTGCCCCAGGCTCCCCTTAGGACCTCTCCTCCCTCATGGGGACTTCACCCTCCCACCACCCCCAATCCTCCCCTCCAGGGCACCTCAAATATCCCATCTTCCAATCAGGCTTTGGTGGGGGCAGAGGCTGTGTGCAACTCACCCCAGGAGCATCCCGGGAGCAGGGACCACAACCCTTCCTGGTGAAGATAAAGTCTCTTGCTTAGAGGAGCTCACGGTGGGAACAAGGTCCAGCCAAGGTCGACCCATTCCAGGGACCCCTCCTGGACCCTCCCAGGCCTACCAGGCTGCTCCCCTGAGAAAGGTCTCAATTCCATCACCTCCCACTTCAACAATCCATAATTCAACTTGGCCCCCTGCAGAAGGTGCTTAAATGACACCGTTTGCTGGGGTGGGAAGGAGGAGAAGCCCTTGGTCTGCTACTTGCTCACCCACCTTCTGCTGGCAGAGGGACAGCTGAGTCACCTTTGCCCCTTCCGAAGCCCGGAGGTGCTTCATCCACACCCACTGTTCCAGGCACATCCTCAGGGTTCCCATCTGGCGGTCGGTCAGGTGAGCCCGATACTGGGCCCCTCTTTTCACCAACTGCTGCCAGGCCCAGAAGCACCTGGGAGAGACAGAGAAAGTGCGGGCGCTAATCCTAAAGACTGCAGGTGCAGCCGCCTGCCATGTGCCAGACACACTGCTCGGGACGCCACTTCACCTCTCTGGGCTGCAGGAAGGACTTGACACTGTCCCCTCTGGGTGCCTGGATGGCCTCAGCAGCCTCCTACCTGGCCTCCCATATCCACTCGTGGCCCCTGCAGTCAGTAGCTACTCGGCGGTATCCAGAGTGATTTTTTTCAAATCTCAAATCAAACCATTTTACTCACCTGCTAAAATCCTCCAGTGGCAGCCCCCCTGCTTGCATGATAACATTTCCACTCCTCCCCAAGCCTGCAAGGCCCCGCGCCCCACACTAGCAGGGCTGCAGCTGGACTGCCGCTCTCCGGGTTTCCCGCACTTTGCGGTCGGGGCCTTCGCACATGCTGTTCCCTCTGCCCGGCGCGCTCTTCTGCTCTCCCTCCACTAGTGGGCCACTCATCCCTCACACCTCGGCTGAGCTCTCGAGGTCAGCCCCTCTGCTAAACATTCTCCTGGGAAACTCCACTGGGGGATGCAATCAACAAAGTGCAGGCCACGGGCAACTGCCGGACAAGCAACCTGGTTTCTTCAACAGATAAACTGCAAGGCAAAAATTCAGGGGAGTCCATAGCTGACAAAGCCTTTAACGTGACCCATCGAGCAGTTCCAACAGGTGGGCCTTACTTAGATCCAGATTCACACAAACTGTAGCAAAATGCATGGTTGTGAAACAACTGGAAATTTGAATGCTGGGCAGGTATTTGCTGGTATTAAGGAATTTCTGTTCCGTTTTGAGGTGTGAGCATGGCCTGTGGTCACGCTGTGTGAGAGTCCTTGTCTTTCAGAGATGCTACAGAAATATTTATGGGTGAAATGGGATTTGCCTCACAATGATGCAGAGGGAATAGTTGGGTGATTTTCTTGGAGCGGGGTGACTTACACAGGTGTATCATCCCATTTTCTTTACTTTTGTGCAAGGTAAAAATATCCCATAATTAAAAGTTAACAAGGGGAACAGCTCATAGATCTGTGTTCCTTCCCTCCACAATGCTGAACTTGGGGGGTATTCGCCCACAACCCTTCTGACTGCTAATTTCCTGTCTGTGCCCCCACCTGGCCACGGGCTCCACATGGGGCAGGTGACAAGTGGCGCTCAGATTTACTTATAACTAAATCCCAGCTCCTGGGTGGCATCTAGCAGGTCTCGGGCTCTCAGTAAGTGGCAACTGCTTTCTTTTCTTTTTTAAATCTTCACCCGAGGATATTTTTTTTCATTGCTTTTTCAGAGAGAGTAGAAGGGACAGAGAGAAACACCGATGTGAGAGAGACACATCAATTGGTTGCCTCCCGCTCACACCCTGACCAGGGCGAGCCTGCAACCAAGGTACGTGCCCTGGGCCGGAATCGAACCCGGGACCCTTCAGTCCGCCAGATGACGCTCTGACTGCTAAGCCAAGCCAGCCAGGGCAGCTGTTTTCATTTCTTATTTTCATCTTTGTCTCTCAAGACTAGGAGGAGTCAACTCAAAGGGCATCTCCCATCTGCATCCCACCCTCCGCCTCCGGGAAGGGGATCCCCACCCCACGCCCTCCCACCTCCTCCTACCTGCGGAGCCAGGCTCTCTGGTGCTGGGGGTCCAGTGGGGCTGCCCAGGCTGCATCTGTGGCAGGAGAGCACCAGGCCTGGGGGGGCCTCCCCATGCTCTGAGTCCTCAGCATGGCCCAGGAGACCTCTCTCTGGACCCCCTTCTCCTGCCCAGCCCTTTCCTTCTGGTGGCACCACCGGAGGAAGACTGTAAAGGGGGGATGAGAGAGTGAGTGAGTGGCCAGGAGGATCAGGGTCAGGAGGGCCACTGACACCCGGGACAGCAGGCTGTGTGGCCTCCGGCCAGTCGCTCCTTGTCTCTGGGCTTGTTTCCCCGTGAGTCTAAGGGACTTTCCAGGTCTAACACTCGAGCTTCTGCTGGGCCTGGACCGGCATCAGTGGCACACAGATCTCATACTGTGTGTCCGTCCTTGAGCTGGTCACTTAATTTCTCTGTGCCTCAGTCCCCATCAGTAAAAAGGGCACAAGGCCTTGCTGAGGTCACTGTGAGGCTCAAATGAGATCGTGTCTGGGAAGTTGCCAGAGTAGATGCTCAATAAACACTCATCCACTCAGGACCCCCTGCCCTGCCCCGTGTGGGGGCTCCGCCTTCCCAGCTCCATCTCCCCTGCTTTCCCAGGACCCCACATCTCACCAGCCAGTTGTTGCAGAGCCTGCAGGGTCTGGACTCTCCTGTCTCCTCCATCTGGTCTCGGCCCAAAACGCGATGGCATCGACCGGGCTCCTGCCTCCTCCCTCAGACTCCCTGGACTGACAGTGAAGTTGCCCAGAGAGAAAATGATGCCCAGGGCCGAGTGAGGGCACACGATCCACCTGTCCAGCCCAGCCCAGGGGGGATGCTGCCGGCCCACAGCGGCAAAGGGGCACCGAGCCACCCCGTTCTCTTCCAGGCGGTCCGCTTACCCGATTACACGAGTGATTTGGGGAGGGGGTTCTGGTTTTGCTTTGTACTCTTCCATACTATTTGGATTTTTTAAAAATAACAAACATGTCAATAACTGTTAAACACATTTTAAAAATTAAAAATAATAAAAACAATACATCACGGCAGTGGAAAATTGAGGAAATGAAGAGGGAAATTAGCCAACTTTAACCCCACTGTTCCAGAGGTAAGCACCATTTGCAGTTTAGGATTTTGGGGGTGGGGGAGAAAATATTTACTTTTATGTTTAAGAATGTAAGACACACATAGCTTTACCATCTTAACCGTTTTTAAGTGGACAGTTCAGTAGTGCTAAGTCCTTCACATTACTGTGCAACACTTTAGTATTTTTCTTTCAGGTCTTTTTTTTTTTTAGGCAGTTTTAAGTGCATAGAAAAAAATACCTTCGATAATATTTATTCTTTTTTTTTTTTTCCATTTAACATCGTCATAAACATTTTTTCTTGTCATCAAAAATTCTACACAAATATCCATAAAAATACTTCCAGGGAGGGGGCTACATGGGGAGGAGATGAAATTTCCAACTGTATTGGATGTTTTTTTCAAATCGAGTGAGCAGGACTGTCACGATTGGAAATCAGAATGAAAGGGATTGAAATGAAAAACAGGAAAAGAGAGAGGGGAGGAAACTTTTAAGTCTTTGTAAATATCATGCTGAAAGGTTACCAAATTTTCTCTCTCACTGGGCATTTAGGCTGTTTCCAAATTTTTGCAAGGATAGATGATGCTGTGATGGACATCTTTTTGCACAAATCTTTGTCTACACCGGCTGGTTGCACCCTCATTCTTGTGATGGGGAGGGGAAATGGGGGACAGGCACGGGAGGCTACCAGCACTGCCTGGGCCACACTGACCAATCTGGGGTGTCCCCAACTACCTGCTTCTCTGGGCAGGGTCCACCACTGGCTTCCTTCCTGAGGGGTCTTGGCCGTGGCCTCCCCCAGAGGGTGGGGGCCCTGGCCCAGCCTGGATGTGGGGCTCCCCTTGTTTCTGCTGCTGAGTCAGGCCTCTCCACTGGATCAAGAGAGAAGCAGAAGAGGGACGTTGGCTGCAGCCTCAAATGTGCCCTGAGAGGCAGCACCAGGGAGGGGCAGGGACAGGAGCCAAACATTTCTATTGGTCTCCAAGGCCTGTGGTCTTAACCATTAGAATACCCTTCCTCTTTGGAAATGCACGAATGAATGGAGAGGCAGAGCTTTCCTTGGGAGACCAAACCTGGAGCTGGGTCCTCCCAGGGCACCCCTTTCCCAAAGCAGGAGGAACACAGAAGCGCCCTCCCAGTCCTGGCCCACGCACCACTGGTGAAAACGAACTACCGTGTGTATGACAGAGTGTGAGCTACGTGCTAGGCAGGGCTCTGAGTCCCTTTATTTATTTAACCACACATCAACCCTAGGAGCATGTATAATTATTACCCCATTTTAGAAATACAAGACTAAGGCACAGAGAGGTTAAGTAACTTGCCTATAGTCACAAAGCCAGCAATGTGAAAGAAAGAAAGTAGTGAAGAGAGGACACGAGCTGAGGCAGAGCCGGTCCAGGCGCCTGGGCTGACAACCACCTGCTCTACTGGCGATCACTCTGAAGTCCACTGGTGATAACCTGAGCCCCAGAAGAACCTCCTCCCGAGACACACCAGCATTTCATCACCTCCCCATGACCCAACCTGGAGATCTCTGACCTTTTGGAAGCTCCGGGCCAGAAGGGCCCTCGTGTGTCGGCCCCATGCCACTTCCAGCTGGGCCTCCCGGAGCCACAGTGCCCAGCGCAGTGCCTGCAGACCCCTGCGCAACAGCTGCCGGCGGCCCAGGGCCACGGCCATGGCCACTGCCCGCTGCCTCCGCACCAAGTGCTGCCAGGCTCTGAAACATCTGGATAGCAGCTGCCGGCTGGGGACGGACAGGGGCCGGTCAGGGGGTAGGCCGGCCCCTCAGCCCCAGGCTGCAGCAGAACGGACTTCCCTCTATTGATGGCTTGGAAATTTCAGACAAGACAGCCCCCGGAGGCGGGAGAAGGCTTCAGCACTGACAATCCCCAGAAGCAGCAGTCCCCACATCCCTGTCCCTGGGGCCCTGGAGGACCTTGTCATCCCCAGCAGGGACAGTGCAGAAGTCCCTCCCCCGTGAACTCTATGGGGATCTGCCGCCAGGGCCTTATCTCTATGGAGCCTTAGTGTCCTTCGTCCCAGCCCACAGCTGTGGCCTCACCAGGCTGTCTTGGGCTCCAGGCTCACACTTCCGACTTTGTTCTTGGAAAACAGAGGGATTAGGCAGTCAGGCCAAGAAGCAAGCCGGACAGGACACCCCTGCCAGGCCTGCCCGCCAAGACCTCCCTTTCCGAGGGAAGAGGGTGTGACAGGGTAGTGACAAGTCTGGCTAGCTTGGAGTGAGAATTCCTGGGGGAGGCAGCAGCCCCCTGAAGCCCCCCAAAATCCCACCCCCAGACTCCTCTCTTCCTCCCTGCTGACCTGCTCCCTCGGGGCCTTCTCCTCTGCTTCCTGCCGGGGAAGGCCACCCAGCGCTGCTCTGGGGAACGTGGAGGAGAGGGGTCTGGCCCCTCTGCTGCCCACCTCTTGAGGGAGCAGGGGGTCCCTCCTCCGCCCCCTGCTGTATGCAGGCCCCTCTCCTCGCCTTAGGATGCAGGCAGGAAGGACCCCCTGCTCAGGGTCAGGGGAATCCCCAGTCAGCACCTCCAAAGCGGTCTCCGGTGGCAGTGCGGGCTTGTGGCTTGCCTGAGAGTCTGAGAGACCCACCTGGACCCCTGGTGTCTCTGGGAAACTCACAGCTCCCCTGAGACCTCGGGGCCGTTTCTTCCTCTTGTCCCAGGAAGCAAGAACAGGCTGGCTGGGCTGGGGGCAAGCAAGGCGGGCCTGGCCATCACCGGTCCAGGGTTCCTGCTGCAAAGGGCCTGGGGGCTCCTGGGTCACCAGGCACCTGAGGCGGGCTGCCTCGTGCTCCAGGCCTTGCACGGAGGCCAGCAGCTGGGAGATGGCAGCCTGGGATGGGGCCCAAGCCTGGTTCTTGGCAGGGTTAGCCAGGTCCTCCAGGGTGAGGGGTTCCCCTGTGAGCCTGGAGGTCCAGTTCCCCAGGCCACACCAGGATCTGGGGTCTGGCCATGTGTGCCCAACGACAGGGGCATAGCTAGCAGTGGGCCTGAAGCCCGGGCTGGGTGAGTCTGTGGCCAGCAGCTGGGACTGCGTCAGGGTGAAGGATGGGCGAGGCTGTGGCCCTCCGGGTAGAGGGCTTCCCTGGGGCATCACAGGAGGCCAGCTTTCCTGAGGCTCCAACCAGGGGCGGGGGCTGCTGCGACTAGCACACTCAGCCCAGCTGGCCTCCCGCATGCTCAGGTTACTCTGCTGGACAGCAAATGCTCCGGATGCCCCCTGGGGGAGGGCTCCCGGGGGCTGTAGGTTGCTCTGCTGCTGAAAGCTTGAGTTGATGAGCCGGTCAGTCCTGTCCTTTAGGGCAAGGCCCCGGCGGGGGCGGGGGCTGGTCAGGTTGCTCTGGACTCGGCAGGGCCCTGGGGAGGTTGTGGTGGCAGGTGCTCCCCTCTCAGCCTGGCCCCTGGGCCCCCATGGGCCATGTCCACTTCCCAGGAGGACACCCAGGCTCTTCCGGAGTCTCTGTTGCTCTAAAGAGAGTAGAGAAAGTCACACCCTGGTGGGAAGGGGCGCTCGGTGTTCAGTGCTCAGGTGGGGCAGGTGGGGCCAGTCAGGTCTCACAGCCCAGGAGGGACAGGGTCCCAGGTCTGCCAGGCCAATGGCCAGTGCCTGGGGGTCTTGAGCAAGAGTCATGACGTGGTCTCACTCTGTGTCCTGGATGCTTGGAGCAGGGACGGGGCAAGGTCAGAGGCAGGGAGGAGGGCAGAGGGAGCCTGGGGGACAGGCGGCTATTGAGGGTTCCCAGGTGAGAGATGACTGGGGCTGGAATCAGGGGTGGCAGGAGGGGGGAGAGAAGGAGACAGATTCAGATGTGCGATGGGGGTAGAGGCTTAGGAGAGGGGTGAAGGAAAGGGAAGTGTCAAGGATGCATCCCTGATTTCCAGCCTGAACAAAGAAATGATGGGGCGGAGGCAATGGCTGGAGATGAAAGCAAGACCCAGCATATCAAACAGCTGAAAGTGAGCTGCTCTGGGGACCTCAGGGTGGAGCTCAGAGCCTTCCCTCCGATTGTCCCCAGCCCCGAGGGCCACCCAAGGGCTGGTGTGATGCCTGGGAAGGCCTGGAAAATATACTGTGGGCCATAAAAGTTTGTAGATAGGAACTAAAGCTCAGAGAGGTTAAGCAACTTGCCCACAGTCACACAGCTAGAACACAGAGAAACTGATATGTGGATCAGAATCTGAATTTGTTCTTGGGCTGCTTCCACCCTTGGTTGTACCAGCTCTGTGGCTTTCTTGAAGCCCCAGGAACCTGAACTCTGCGGTTCCCCAGCCCACTACCCCTGGCACAGACCTGCCTGTGGGAACCCTTTCTCAGCCAGGGGCCCTGGCCAGGCCTACTCCTGGTCCAACCTGTTCCAGGTTCCTGACCCTCCCTTGGACCCCAGGCTGCGAACTTTGTCTATGGAATTAGTGAGGCTCCCGCTGGCCGGTCTGGGAAAGGAGCTCTGGGCCACTACTTAGTGGGGACCCTCCTCCTGCCACCTCCAACCCAAACCCACTTAGCCTCTTGCCTGGCCTCAGGGGGGTCGCAGGCCCCGGGGACACATTCTCCTTGTGGCTGGTGTCAGGTCTCAGCTCCATGGGCTCCAGGGCAAAGCCAAGGTAGCAGCAGTGTCCCTGATCCACACCACAGCCAGCAACCTATTTGATCAGATGAGATCTGAGGGGCAAGAACAGGGTGCCCTGGCTCCCACCAGGTCACACTCCAGCCCTGGCCCACACCCCACCCTTCACCAGCACCCCTGGCTGCCCTCAGGCCCAGCCCCAGCTGTCCTGGTCAGGCCCCCTTGGAATCTCCTCTCCCTGCCCCCCAAACCACTTCCTTTCCATCTCTCTTTCATCTCCCAGCGTCCCTGCCCAGTCCCCAAAGGGGGTGAGGCTCTCTTTGCTTTCTGTCTCCACTCCCAGGCCCTTCTCCCTCCCTCCCCTCTAAAACACTCGGTTCCAAGCTCCAGGTACTCAGTGCGGGAAGTCCTGGTCATTCCTTGAAGATTTCAGCTCCTGGTTCCCTGACCCTTCCTTCAACACACACCTGCTTAAGTTCTTGGTCATTTCACCATCCACATGCACAATCCCTCCAACCCCTGGCCTGTAGTCAGCCCTTCAGTCTCAAGTCTGCCCAACAGGCTGCTGGAGAATCAGCTTCTCTTCCCCCTTCCCCACCCTCCTAGACACCAATTCACACTTTCCCCTGTCCGCAAACCGCTGCTCCCCACAACCCCTCCAGCGGACCTTGTTTCCTACTCCACCCACAAAATGGCCATCAGAAGAGAAATGCCACCAGCTCCCCCACCAGCTTCATGCCCACTGCCTCTCCAGCCCCTCTGCCATCCTGTGTGGTCCCATCCCCAGCCATACTCCCCTCCCCCAAGCTCTGGGTACTATTCTGTCTCCCTCGCCCAAGGGCAGCTCCCAGGGCCATCGCCAGCCTTGGAGATGCCACTCTCTGAATCAGGAAAAGGACCCACACTTCCCACACCCCACCGCTGACTCAGCCACACACCAGGCCACAGAGCTTGGTGGGCAGGACACAGGCTATGATGCGTCAGAGCCCTGTCCTTGCTCCCGAAGTCCCCTCCCCCCATCATCTACACTTCCCCCTTCTTTACTCACTCAGCACTTAGGCAATAAGCAAAAACACCCAAAACCCTCCCTCTCTTGAGCTTCCAGGTCCCAGACCACTTCTCCTCTTCTCCCCAAATCCCAATTCCTCTCCCACCTCCATGTGGCTCTGATGACCTCACTGCAATCAGCCCCTCCCCAAAGCTGCTTTCCTCCAGGTGACCTCCAAGATGCCAGGTCCCTGACCAGTTCTCAGGCCCGAAGCAGGACAGTGGTCACTCATCTCCTTGGAGCCCTCTAGGACGCCACCTCTTGGCTTCTGTCCCTCCTGCCTCTTTCCCAGTCTCCTCTGCTGGTTCCTTCTCTCCTCCTGAGCACTTGGTATTGGAGGTGCTGGGGCCTCCTCCCTCCCCTGATACATGCACCCCAAGTGATCTCAGCTTCAGACAGAATGGCAGCTTGGAGAATGGCAGCTTCAGCCTCCCGCTGGCTCAGGGGACAATCCTGGAGCCACCCTGACGTCTCACTCCCTCACCCCACCTGCCCTACCTTCCAGAGATCCAGAATCCAGGCCCTGCTCACCACCTCCACCCCCACCTCCTTAGGTCAAGTGACCATCCCTCTTGCCTCCTGACTGGGCTCCCACCCTGCCCTCATTCCCGCACCCTGCATCCTGCTCCCCCCAGTGGCCAGAGTGATCCTGTGAACTTAGATCAGAGCACGGCCTGACTCAACTCAAACAGCCCCAAAGGCTCCCCCCACCCATTCAGTCCTCACTGAAGGCTTTCAAGGCCCTACACAAGGGAGCCTGCTTGTTATGTAAATGCAGTGACACGGGGACACAGCTTGTCTGTGGCTACTTTCTTACTACATGACAGAGTAGTTTCAACAGACACCTTGTGGCCCACAGACCCTAAAACATTTACCTTCTGGCTTTTAGGAAGTTTGCTTAAGAAGGGGAGGGGGGGTTGGGAAATGGGTGAAAAGGGAAAGGGGAATATAGTTAATATTGTGACAAGTTTGCACAGTGACAGGTGATCACTAGAATTAGCGGGCTGATCACATTGTAAGGTATAGAAATGTCAAATCACTCTATTGTGCACCCGAAACCAACATAACCAATATAAGACTGTATACCAAGTATACTTAAAAAGAAGTCTGCTGCCCCGGCCCCAGTCGCCTGGCCCTCAGGTACCTTACCAACCTCATCCCCACGCCTCTTCCCTTGCTCTCTCTGCTCCACGCCCCCAGCCTCCTCCGCTGTTCTTCCAAAATGCCCTGCGTGTTCTGACCTCAGGGCCTTTGCACTTGCTCCCTCTGCCTGGAACCCTCCCCCTCTCCTCTCCTTCAGGTCCTGCCGCAGACATCACAGTGAGCCCTTCCCTGACCGCCGTCTCTGGACCACAGCACCCTCCCCCTCCCTCCTCTCTTTACCCCGCCAGATTTTTCTCCGTGACTCAGCCCCACCTAACGGCCTGAAGAAGTCAGCGTTTGCTTTTCTCCCTCCCGTGGGCTATGGGCCACTGTCTCTTTTGCCCCGTGCTGCAGTCACGGCCTGTGGAACGGCACCTGGCACACAATCGGGGCTCCCACACTGTGTTAAAGGAATGAGCCCCGCTCGGCACCGGGCCGCCTTTGGGATGCATCCTATCGTTTAATCTGCACCGCAGCCCGAAGGATCGGGTCCCAGGTCAGCGGCTGCGGAAGGGGCCACGCTCCCCCCCTTTCCAAAGGCGACTTCCCTTAGCTCCATTCAATCCGCGCGTCCCTTTCTC